CCCCCCTCCACATCAAACCATGACAGCAAGGCATGTTCTCGTTTTAAAACTGAACAGTGACTGTGCTGTTTTACATCCTAATGCTTTTGATTCCTGCATCTTCAGTGTCTTATGGGCCATTGTCACATATCAGGAACAGGTGGCTAGTGTCTACCCATCATAAAGTCTATGTTTATGCTGCTTGAATGTGTAGCATAGACTTGAGAAGGGAGACTTTCAGGAACTGTGTATCAGTGAGATGGCTGCCTCATCAGTGTCCTAGTGCTACCCTGTGATCCTGGATTAGGGCCAAGGATGACCTCTCAGTATCAAGATCAGAAATTGAGGTTGCTCAGTGACATAGCTCTGCTCTTGGTGGTGTGACAGAGCCAACATCACAGGAAGCATATTTGAACTACATGAGTGCTGCATTCATCTCGGTAACTGCAAGTCCACTGCTGCCACCGTCACCAAGTTTCTGGTTACTGTCATCAGGTTTCCAGTTTCTGTGCAGTCTGTGTCTACTGACTTCTGCAGAGCCTGGGCTTTCCCCTCACATCCATGTAGTTATACCTCAAAGTAAAGGTTTGGGGCTTAAATTGTAGCCAATGTGATCGCAGCTGTGGATTTTGAAAATAGTATGATTGGTTATGAAATTTACGTGATCTTTTCTTAAGGACTAGCTTCTGCCTGTAGGAAATGGTAAAACATCAGTACTTTGTTGTGATCCACTTCCCAATTGCTTTTCAGTCACAGATGCACTTAAAAGCAGTTAGCAATTAGTTAGTCTGTAGTCTGCAGTAGACACTAATGAGATGCTTACTGCAGATCACTGTTACAGGCATAATAAGTATGCGATATTTTCTTTAATGCTCTCTCACATCTGTAAGATGACAGAAAATGCTTTTATATTCTTTAACCTCATGTTGAAATAAGACAGATTGCACTTCTCCTGAAATGAATAAATCTGCAGTATATATATTTATCCAATGGCTATATATCTCGTTTTCAAGATAATTTATTGATTTTCTGTTTCAGACATTATTTTTCTTCAAGGAACAGAAGTCATATTTAAAGTAGCACTGAGCCTACTCAGCAGTCAAGAAACATCTATAATGGGATGTGAGAGTTTTGAGAACATTGTTGATTTTCTTAAAACCTCTATTCCAGATATGACTCAGTCTCAAATGGAAAAAATCATTACCCAGGTAAGGTTACTTTTCTCTTTACTTTTTTTTCCCCTCAATTAGTTTACTTTTAAAAGATCTTGCCTAAGGTATGCGTAAAAATCTTCTCAGTACGTTCCTTTCGGTTTGAAATGCAAAGGAGTCGTCTTCTTAATAACTTGTATAGCAATAGAACATGAGCTACTTTCAATGGGTTTTGAACTGCAATTTTAGCAAGATTTTAGTTGCTACTTGTAAGGGACAAGGGCCAAGTGACTGTGCTGTGAGCGAGGGTTGAGTTACGGGGAGAGGCCTGGTGTCTCTTCTTTTGTCTCAACCGCTTCTGGAGCAGGGATAAGGGAAGGTTCCAAAACTCCAGGAACAGGAACCAATACATAGGGCAACATCCCCCTCCACCGAACGGGGACTCTCTTCCCCTATGGCAGGTGCAATGCAATGGACTGGTGATCTTTTCTCTCTCCCTCTCTCTCTCTTTTCTCTTAAAGTTCTTAAGTAGCATAAGGCTTACGTTGATTTTCTGTAACGTCGCAAGGCTTGGACTCTTAAAGTTCTTAAGTAGCATAAGGCTTACCTTATGCTACTTGATTTTCTGTAACGTCACAAGGCTTGGGTGGATATAACTGTGAGAGGGACGGTATAACTGTGAGAGGGCCAACGTGTTCCATTAAAGCTGGTGTTTGGTTTTGGACCTTGAGTGTTATCTCACCTTAGTTCACATCGAGGGAATTTGCGAATCTGAGTCATCCCCTCCTTTCCCCAGGTGGGATGTGACACTACCTGACTGTTTAGTACAAAGGTTCTTTTATGCCTCAGCTATTGGGAGAACATGATTTTGCTTATAAATTTCACGTCACCATTAGAAGGGTAGAAGTAGCCTGTTTTCCAAACCTAAACCCAGCTGTTGCTCCCTGCCAGTGGGTGAGCAGTCCAACAGTTTGTAACAGGAAGCACAACTTGCCTTGGTGGGAAGAGGCAGCGTCACAGCAACTTCTCCTCTTGATCCTTAAAACTTGAGGCTGCACAGGGCCAGGTACCCCTGTAGGAACTTTTCTGACACCTCCAACTTAAAATCCTACAAGTTAAGAGGTTGATGAGGCCCTGTTTTCATGATCTGTATTAAAATCAAGGTGAAGCAAGCCTTCGCTGTTCTGTTGTGGGGATGGCTGCTGTCCTCCCGGGGATCACTTCTGGGGTACCCTCATGCAACTTCCCCTTCTCACCTCAACCCTGTCCTTGGAGGGATCACATTTGGCAGGTGCTTGGTGGCAGAGATAAAAGCCCCTCAGGACTGATCTCTGCCTTTCTTGGGTAAGGGAAAGAAAGACACGAGTAGTGTTATTTCGTCAGTATCAGTGCAGCTTCATGGCAAAGGGCGAGGAGAATAGAAGAGAAACAAGGAATTACTGGTGCTGATATGGGAAAAGCACCTGCTAAAGCTCCTTGCAAAATACTGTCAGTGGCTGGGATCTTCATCTCTCTACATCCTCTTCCTCTGTATTGAAGCTGCAAATTGAAATGAGTCTCATTGTAATACCTTAACTGCGAACTTGTGAGCAGTTTTCCTTCCTCAGGTGGCAGTTTGGAGATAATAGAAGAGCTCTAGAAAACCATCTCCATATGCAGGCATGCAAGTTAACACTGATGCATGCCTGTGGCTTGGTTAACGCTTGAATGTTTCAAATGCTGTCAGTTAAGAATTTGTTTTTAGACAATGTGAAAAATCTTCATTTCCTCATTGCACTGATTGAAATTGCCATGCTAAACAACCCGTGTCAGGCACTTTAGTGTCCGTCTTCACAACTCACTGAATCTGGCAATGATAGAGATGGTAGTTCAATATTTTTGATGCTGTTAGATATTAAATCTCGGTCCCATGGTCTGCATGGGTTGCAGAGCAATCCATGCTGTGGTGAGCATGGTAGAAGTGGCTTTGTGCAGAGCCAGATCTGACTGAGTAAAGAATGGGTTATGTAACCTGAGTGGAGGTGGATTTGGTTATACGCAGGTCAGCTCAGCTCTGAGAAAGCTCTGAGGAAGGTCACCTGCTTGCCTGTGGTGTGGTCTCCTGCTGAGCAGCCTTGTGGATCTGCATTCACGTGTAGACTGCCTGTATCGTATTGTTCCTGCCTAGACTGGCTGCAGGTGGAGTCGTTTGGCTGTCTCAGCGTTGTAATTCCCAGGACTGTCCTGTTATAGTGGATAATGAAAGAACATTGTAAACATTATATAGGGACTGTAAAATGCAGATGAAGAATTGACCAGGTTGCTACATGGAGGAATGTGACACTTACCCAGCTTGAACACCATACGTAATTTAAAGTTTTACCTCATTTGAATTACCTGAAGAATGGTGAATGTGATGCCGAACTTGTTTTGTTGGAGGATCTGTGTTTGTCTTCTGTTGGTGTGATGTTTGGAATCTCTAGAACAAGGGACGGAATTAATGTCACTGTAGACATCTTTCTCTTCTCAGTCTAAACTGTTTGGTGACTTTCAGAAGGTGAGAGGCTGTGACTAGATATGTAAATAGACAAGGGTCATATGGTCCCATCACTGCTAGGTGCTCAGTTCCATAGTCTTCCCAATGCTTTGTCACCAAAGCAGGCCTATAAGAAAGTAGTGTATCTTCGTGCAGATACAGCACAGGAAAACTGTAACCATGAAGAGTGTTTTTTATAAAAGTCTATAAATGGGCACTGGGACTCAAGAGATCCAGTTTTGAGGGTGGAAATCTGATGACTTCTGGATTATTCTTCCTTGTTGTGTGATCCTGCTGTTGTCACTGGTGAGACTTGAATTAAAAAATTTCTTCTTGAACTTCCTAATATTCCTTAGAAAGAGATGATAAGACTTGGTCGTACTATAAAATTATTGGTTTAAATAAGACTTTTCTACTGATACCTCTGATAGTAAGAGATGATATTTGGTAATTGTAAAAGTGATGATCCAATTTATTCTAAAGTCTATGATTTATTATGGCTACAATAAGGACTCTGGATGGTATAATGCTCTTACTGTAGACTTCTCCTTAAAATACTTTTTTGGGAGGAACAGAAAAAAACATTAACTTAATCAAGCAGAGTTGCCTCTTAGCCAAACATTCGTGTGGAATAAGTGCTCTCTATCGTAGTTACAAATTGTTTTTTCTCTCATGGTAGGTGTTTGAGATGGATATTTCAAAACAGCTCCATGCCTACGAAGTAGAGTACCATGTTCTGCAGGATGAACTGCAGGAAAATGTAAGTCCCTGTGATGAAGGTGAACCCCTGGAGAAGCTGGAGAGGGCAAACAGTCATCTGAAGAGACAAAACATGGATTTGTTGGAGAAGCTGCAGGTAAATGACGTAAGATCAAAAACTCATGGAGAAGTCATTTCTATGATTCAGCCAATAGAGAAATATCTTTTTTAAATGTACATGAAAAGTCTCCTAACGGCAAGTCCTTATGCAGTTGAGCAGTCCTCTCAGTTACAGTGATTTACTTCTGTCAGACATATTCTTAGCTCCTTTGTCATTCCTTGGGCTATTCCTTCTTGATTTAGATTCCTTTTTTTTTTTTTTAATATCTCTACCTTTATCTCCCATAAAATCTGTTGGCAAAATTTTGTGTATCTTGCTGAAAAATAAGTTCTCTCCCCCTTCATCTCTTTGCTTCCCTGTTGGAAGTAATTCATAGTGCCATAGGATTGTTTTCTCCAGACCTTTAGTAGGCAGTATCAATCTGTTTCCTTCTGCTGAAGCTTATAGTCCTGCTTTTTGAAAGGTGGTCTCTCCTAGCAGACTCCAGTGCAGCTGAGTGCCCACCAGATTTTGCCTAAATAAAGTCATGCTTTAGAAGTCTTCTCTTCTGCCTTCACTATTCACTCTTTCTCTCATAGACTGGCCGAGACTTGTTTCAGGTTTCAATATGTATTGTCTTACATTTTCCTGAAAGACAAGCTCTTCTTTTTACATCACCAGGCCATTTCTTTTTATATTTGTTAATTTGAACAAGCACTGGGAAGAACTCAGAGAGCACCTTTCCGAAACCTGAAAACAGAAGCAGGGAAAAAAGGAAAGATCAAGTCCTCATTATTTTTGTGTTTATAGGCTAAGGGTGTTGTTCTCTGTTTTTTCAATATTGAATTTAAAATGGGAATCACTTGCTTTTTTTACAATTATTATAGTATTATATCATTATATTGTTTTATATTTTATTTTTACTATTACTATTTTTGCTTTATTATTTTTATTTTTTTACTACTATCTAGGTTCTTACCTCTGTTCTGAAAATGTACCAAGGGCATAGAGTAGTGATGAGTGACTGATTTGAAAGGCCCCATAGGAGCTCTTCTGTTCTTCCAGACTGCTGTCCTGTAATTCATCTTCCTCAGTTCCTTAATCTCTTTGTCTTCTCGTTCGTAACTTCTTCATTCCGCTGCTTGGGTCTTTTCCTAGGAACGGTCAGAATTCTCCCACTTCCCACAGAGAGACATTTGCTAGTGCTGAGGTCTGGGGTTTCTGATTACTAGTCAGTGTTGGTGGTTTTTTTTTTTTCCCCAGAGGAAGCTGTAGGTCTT